ACTCTATTATGGCCCATAACAACCCGCTCTGGCACTATATAGTACAGTACAGCCTAGAATATTATTTAGATACTACTTCTGCTTCTTGCTTACACGTTTGCGCGTTATGCCTAGTCTAATTGCACTGTCTGCAGCGCCTTTAGGATAGCTTACTTACTTTAGCTTGCACCTGCTTCTTTACCTTCTTCTTATTACTGCGCGCTTTAAACTTCTTTAGAGCTATTAAGCGTAGGCCTTTCTAAATTGTTAAGGTTTTTTCTGCTTTAATTTACTTTTTTTTATGTAATTTATGTTACATAGCAGCCTTATTAGCTGCTTAAAGCTTAGTAATTTCTTATTACACTAACACTAGCTTATGCGTAATTATTACTACCTTTTTTAAAACTTTCTTAAACACCTTAACTATAGAAGTTAGTAAACTATTTATATGCTTTTAAATTTTTATTTTTATAAGTATTAATTATAACCTAAGTTTTAAAGTATTACTTAGGGTTTACAACTACTAGGGCTTATTATATATAAGTAGTAGTAGTAATAGAGTGCGCAACTTTACATTAAGGCCTATTATAACTTATTATAGGTTAAAAGGAATTAATTTAGCGCCTTAGAACTTTTCTTAGATATTACTAAAAGTAATTATAGCATAATAAGCTGCTTTAAAGCATAGTAGGAACTTTATTTTTATAATATAAGTAATCTAGTTGTGTATAAGGTTTTTAGCTTAGCGCTTATACACTTTTTTTAAAGAAGTAAAACAACCTATATTAAGTAGCTATAAAAAGTGTAATAAGTAAAAAAGCATATAAATAGTAATAATCTTATTATTTTTATAGTATTACTAAAAATAAAGTAAGTTGTAGCTTTTATAGCTGTTAATAACTAGTAAATAGTAGCTACTAACAGTACACTTCTTTATATACACATTAAAGTGCTTTAACTAGTCTAGACTAAGCTAATTAGTAGTCTAGCTGTGCTTAAAGATTATAATAACTTAATTCTAAAGTAGATTTTTCTTTTTATACTAGTTTAAAAAGTAGTTACTACTCTAGAAAATAATAAAAGGCAGAATAGCCTACTTTTTAGCATTAATGCCCTAGATAGCTGTTGTCTACTCCTAGTTACCTAGCTAGACTACTTTTAGCTGTTTTTATTTCTCTAAACTTATAATAACTGCTCTAGTAGATATCTAGCCTATTATAAACTTTATTTTATTAAAGTTGTACATGTTATTATCTTAGATGCTATACTTAGCTTTAATATTCTTTATAAAGTTAAACTAGCTTTAAATTACTATAAAATTTTTATAAAAAGCTTTCTTATAGTTATACTTATACTTAAACTTTACTTTAAGCTCTAAGTAACACTTAATAAATGTATTAAGCTAGTTTATGCTAATATAGCCTATATTATGCTTAGTGTGCAAAGAATTAGCTATATTAGCTATAGCTGCTAGCTAGGGGGGAAATCCTTGCGCATCTAGCTTAAGTATGTGCTAAATAATTACCTGCTTTTTATTATTATCTAGCTTTTATAAGTTAGCTATATAATTAGCTTAAAAAGGTTATCTAGCATGTTAGTTACTTATTATTTTTTAAAAAACCTTATAGATAGCTGCAGCGTGTTACTTAAAAAGTATTATGTCTTATTTAAAAGCCTAGAGCATAAGCTGCATCTAACATTCCTTTAACACGTCTAAGTAGTGTTATTAGGAATACATTAGTGTAAGAAAAGTAGTGTAGTAGGGTCTTAGCAAAAGTAAGCAACTCAGGTGTGTGAGCAACTCGCCCATAAAGTACGTTAAAGTTAGTAAAAAGTCTACATAGTAACACTATTTTTTCTAAAGACCTAGAGACTATCTATAAGATATACTGTAGTTAATTTACTACATAATTTATTAATTAAGTTAATTAAGTTAATTAAGTTAATTAAGTTAAGCCTTATTTATGCTATTAAGTTAATTAAGTTAAGCCTTATTTATGCTATTAAGTTAATTAAGTTAATTAAAATGTGCTAGATCTGTTAATTAATTAAGCAATTCACCCTAACTTAATTAACTTAATTGTTGCCAACTCTGTCTAAGACATCCTCGCAACGAGGAAAAACCCTGAATCGAATGGATTGACGCAGTTTGCACCTGTTCCAATCGATCCAGCAACAAACGTTTCGGAAATCTAAGGTACTGGTTTCCACCTCTTGAAGCTAAATCAGGATTAGGGAATTTACAGTCTGCGTTTTTAAACTAGAAATCTACTAATATATTGCTTTCTATCTTCATCTAGTAATGCCGCCTTCGCCTCGCCTTGCCCGTCTTCGTGTTAACATAGCCAACTGTTCTTGTATTAAAACTACGCGAGTTTTTTACTCCCGTCGTTACTACTAATAACGCGGCGGCAAAGAGTAGAAAAATAGTATATTAGTGATCTGCTCTGCTTTGCCAGTTTAGGGGGATCCCTAGGGGAGTGCACTAAGTAGGCCGATCACCGGACAAGGATCCTAGCCCCTCTTCATATGCGCAAAGACTAAAATAGTTCCTAAGAGAGACTTAGAGCTGATATAAGATCTTAGAGCTCTTTTAGTAGCTTGTCCACCATCAATAGAGCTAGCGCTAGAGGCGGAATACAGTGCTCTGTAAAATTAGCTTTACCCTCGACACACCCTTTTTCAAGCTTAGCCTTGCTGTGTGACTAGGACCCTGGCAATCCTCTTTTAAAACTGGTTATGCTTGCTTGCTTGTTTTCTTGTCTAGCAGCTATTACTTCGGTATCAGGCTATTATAAAGCGGTGGAGGCAGTACTACTCCGAGTAAGCCCTGATAAGAACCACGCACAGAGTACAAAGCCTATATATAGCCACGGGGCCCCAGAGGCTCTAAGAGGAATCATCCTTACCCTACACCCGCCCTTGAAGACCCCCCTAAGAAAGAGTCGACGGTCTCTATATTATTATTACTAGGTAAAGGCGAGCAGCTCGCGTCGCCTAACCTCCGCCTTACCGGCGACAATGGCCCTCTCGCTAAGTAGTATCTTTACCACCTACTTATAGCTACGTTAATTTCGGCGTCTTCGTCAAGTAGTAGCTTTAGCTTCAGCTTTAGCTGCACATAGTACGTTGCTGTATAACCCACTTTACGTGTTAAACATTAACAGCATTACCAAGCAGCAGCTGACGCTCGACCTTCTTATTCTAGAAGAATAACTGCACCACAGAATTAACGCTGCAAATTGAACCCACCTGATCATTCGCACTAAATTGTAATGTGCTCTTAGGTGTAGTAGTAGAGGGTACTAACCCTAATCTTAAATAGGTTAGTGATGAACTAGCATGAAGGTTAGTTAGAGTTGTAGTAGTGAACCTAGCTTTTAGGGGGGACAATGTCATGAAAATCTCCCACGCGACTAAGGCACTTTTACTGCTTAAGGCTAATAACGCCTATCTTTCAGCCTCGTGACAAAGCACGCCATGTACGAGGAGCGCCGTTTGGGACGTAGTGATTCCAACGGAGTATAGGGATCGACACGAGGTGTTGTGAGAGGTTTGTCTGTGTTGGGGAATAAGACATCCGTCCAAGTAGACGTTCCGTCCGCGACGGAGAGGCAGAGGGGGTGGATAGAAGTATAACCGCGCGTGTTGCTGTAGATATTTTGTAGCTTCATACGGAGGTGGAGTCGGGTGCTGCAGCAGCGTGAAAAAAATTCACTCTCTCGCCGCGGCGCTGTTTCAACGCAGCGAACTACCGCAGGACATCTCTACGTTGGCTCTAGGTCGTCTGAACGACCTAGATTCCCAGGCTTCACCGCATGGAGGTGTAGAGGCCGATTTCGAAGGCCCCGATATGTCATCAACTGGTTTGTCTAAGTCATGGGGTAGTCATGCGACTACAACGTGACCCTGCGGGCCTTGGGTTGCGTGGCGCCTGCCGTGGATGACCGTGGATGACGTTTATTTGCCAAATAGGCATCTACCGTCAACTTCTCAACGGCCTCCCTTCATCTTCAACCGTTCTGCAACTTCACCACCTACACTACCACATCCGTCGCTCGAAATGGCCATGTATGCACTATGTCACGTTTCCTCCTCGCCTTTGAGGACTCAATCTTCCCCTGCACCATTAAGAAGAATCACTCCATCACTACAAAAGCGCCCACACTCGTCCGCACACATCCTCCGCTTCCAGAATGGGTCCCCCCTAAAACGGCGCTTAATCATGTCTCCAGTAGCATTCACCATTGGAGATCCCCTTCCGCCAGCTGCCATAAATGCTCGTCGCATCGAACTCTCATTTCCATTAGTCGTTAATGGCAATGTCATCTTCCCAAACTTAGAGGAGCAACGGAGAGAGCTTACCAGCATCTTCCCGACTACTCAGAGCGCTTGGGTAGGGTCTCCATACCTTGTCATCCAAGTTCAGGAGCTTCCACCGCCGCCATGGCCCCTCTCGGTCGGCCGCATTCCATTACATCTCTCTACAGAAGACGATGCCAACGGCCCCATTGACAAAGGCGACCAGGGCCGTTCCAAAACCGCCGCGCTGCCTCAATACAATCTCAGAAATGATCCAGTCCCTATCCTGCCGATCTTTATCGACATCGTAGATTACTTCAAATCTAAGCACGTGGTTGTACACGAGATTTTCCACTTCCCTGGCTTCTTTCGAATTACTGTTGCCGACGACACGAACTTGGATACGCTACCTTGGAGGATCTCAAATCAAGCCGCCTTCTATAAGTTTCGCAACCAAGAACAAGACCCGGATGCCTCAGCGCTCCGTGTGCAACAACCCTCAGGCGTCCTTCAAGACAACACCAACTATCTGGCCAACCATATTGGATTGCTCCGTCCAGGTGTCATGGTCAGCTCTTCCCTCTCTGATGGATCATGGACATCAACAACATTGGGCATCCTTGTAGTTGACAGGTCTGGAACCCCATTCATTACAGTGGCAGATCATGGATTCAGCAACGACGGCGAAGTCTGGCATCCAGATCCAGGCGGTACTCTGATTGGCAAGATCATGCACAGATTTCCAGACTCAGACATTGCTCTAGTGCAGCTAGAGAAGCACATCAAATTCGACAACAAAACTTTTGGCAACGTAGACAACCCTGAAGGCACCATTCCAAGTGGCATTGCCACCAAATCCCTTTTTTTTGACAATATCGATATGGACAATCCGTTCTCGGGCTATTGCGTTGGCCAAATTCTTGCTCCCGGTGTAAGGGTTGAAGGACCTGGCTTACTGATTCAGCATTATTGGGTTATCATGGATGCCAGTAGTGATCAGGGCCCAATTGATGGAAGTTGTGGATCAGCAATTCTTAATGACGATGGTGAGGTGGTGGGATTCTTTAGTTTCAAGAAGCAGGGCTCTCGAGACTGCTACGCTGTGTCCTCCGAGATGTTGATCAAGGCCGGCTACCAGATACCTATGCCACAAGTACAAACTGATGCAGAATAAAGTCCTATATACCAAACATACCCCACCCTTTCGCCCTATTTGTAGTGCAGTTCAGTACGATGCTCCAAAATTTGACCATAGCATGGCTCTAGTTGCTATGCTAATAATGTCAAGATTGTCGCCCTTTGTGTATCATTTAGAACGGACGTTTAACCTGAGTCGAGGATTCTATGGAGACATGGAGCCTGTTTGGGATGAGTATTATTTTTTAGGAGAATTTAGTCAAACTACAAGGTTTCTTCCTCTCTTACATATAGCTACATGTTTTGCCTCATGAACAGCTTTGGTTCTTATTCATTGTGTACTCTTAAATCTGGCAGCAGAGCATCTTAAACATGGTTTTGTACTCAGTGTTTATTCACCAAGGGACCTGATGGCTGCATCTGCCGAGGGCTATCCGGTCTGCATCAACCAGGCTGATAATCTGAAAAAGGGCCACAGATTGCTATGATGGGGGAGATTTATCGCCTGGCTAGTCGCGTTGTCGTATGGCTTGGACCAGCAGCAGATGACAGCGATCTCGCGATGGACTTAATGGATTGGATGGGCTGATGGTTGAGGTTGACTTCAATCGCTATACAATGACATCTTCTGAGGATGCCGGTGACCGCCGGATTGGGGACAGAACAAGCAGACTTCCATATGAGAAGCAGCATCCCTATGCGCTCTACCGCTTAATGTCCCGGATGTGGTTCGAAGGATTGTGGGTTCGACAGGGGATCTATCCAGTATACTCGGCCATTATACAGTGCGGGCTGTGCCGGGTGCCATGACCCATGTTCCACAAAGCCTGGTACTGTCTAATGCCAGACTTTGAAGCTAGGAGGAGCACCAGAGGCATACGGAACTAGATTGATTGCTAAAGGAGTGTACCTAGGGGTCTATATATATGCAAGAAAGAGGGTAAAGTCCCGGCAACATGCGACTATTGCGTAAGCTACGAAGATCCTCACGGAATGCTTCCTATTCGCGCTTCATCGCATAACGTTCACTTCATCCCAGTCCTGCTAGGAAGATTGTACTCATGCTTGAGTCTTTCCTTGACCTCGCCGGCCTGGAAATGTGAAGTGTCTGTTGTGGACAGAAATATTATCCTTTCCGGGATATCCTTCGACGAAAAGCCCTCCCTACAAGCATACTCAGACGACATACCCGCTCCTTTCCAGTCCGCCCTTAGCCATTGAAAATATGCAGAAGCAGTTTTGGACCAATGCAGGTGTGTTTAAGCGCAAGAGAGCTGGCTCATGACGAATGCTAAAGACGTCCCCACATACAGATGAGCTTTAGATAACTAACAGGGCTGATTAAGTCACCATAACACTACACGGTGTGGCTCTTCTCTCGGTAAACAACCCAGTAAGAAAAACCCGCTCATACCCGCGCACCTACATCAAAGTGTAATACCGACTCCTTCCCCTATTGCTGGATCTCTGATCCATGCTATACGACAGTCAGGCCCCCCACACCTATCTAATATACCACAGAAGAACTTGCTCAAAAGGGTGAGTAGATCTCAGGGAGGAACTGCACCCCTCACCACCCCGGATGCTTGATCCGGCTAGTCGCCCGCTCCGCCAAGCGGGCGTAAGTATGGAAACGACATGAAATACTTTCTCGCAATATACAGGAACCCACATGATGCTGTGCTTGTTGGCTCCAGGCTATAAGAGCAAAAGTGCGCTCGATCTCTCCCAGGCGGGGAAAGGTTGGAAGATCATGTATAAAGACTTGTTCCTCACCGAGCGAAAGGCAGCACAAGTCAGTCAGTAGTCCCCAGCAATGCTTCTCTCATCCCCCCATCAAGCGTCCTTTGTTTCGACTCTGCTGCTCTTCTTTTCCGCATGCAGCATTGCGATCAACACCAACCGCACCATCTCCATCGGATACGTTAGGCATCCCGTTCTTCACAAACTACTCTGTCTTCCAAATCGGTTTTCTGCTGACCAAACTACAGATCCTCTACCCCGGCTTTGAACTCCTCGACGTATACGGCCCTCTCGAGCTCCTTTCTTCTGTAACCTTAACGCCCCACCATCGTCACTCAAAGCGGGCACCCTAACCCTCGCACAGGCATCTTACCTCCACAACATGACCCTATCCCTCATCTCTTTCACCACTGGCCCAGTAGCTTCTCGCCCTCCTGGCCACCTTATGGATCCATCGATGCCCCCGGTCGACACCAGCCACATGATTGGTCCGACAACGGTCGCCACGCACACGTTTGAGAACGCACCGCCACTGGACATCATCATGGTCCCAGGAGGCATGGGAAACGTCGCCCTCGAGCAAGAGAACAACACCGTCATGGAAACCTTCATTGCCCGCCGTTTCGATCATGCCTCATATGTCCTTTCCGTATGCACAGGCACCGTGACACTAGCCCGCGCCGGCGTTCTCTCGGGCCGACGCGCAACGACGAACAAATGGGCGTGGAGCTGGGTCACGGATCCAGCCCATGGAAAGAACATCACCTGGGTGCCGAGCGCGCGGTGGGTTGAAGATGGCAAGGTGTGGACGAGTTCGGGCGTTGCAGCTGGGTTGGACATGATGTATGCTTTTTTGAAGCATTTATTTGGAGCTGAGGAACTGGATTCGCTTTTGAATCAGATTGAGTATGCGCCACATGTGGATCCACATTGGGATCCGTTTTCAGTGGTGCACAATGTGAGTTACTAGGCTTCCACGGCCGGGGAACAGATTGCGCTGACAAAGACATAGGTTCCGGGAGCGGACAGGAATAGGTCATTGGCGGACTGTGTTGTGCCAGCTGGCCACTGACGATACAAAGAGTTGGCCAGGCTAGCATTTCGGTCTGCACTGTAGAGAGAGGAAGCACATCCACTAACAAAAGATTAACTGCTAGAAATGTTGACGGGGTATACCGTTAAGCAGACTCTGGCTCCGTGCTCCGAAAAAAGCAACACACCCAATGCACGCTCTTCGCACCACACCTTACTACATTTCGTCCACTATATCTCATTAGCTCGTATCTACTAACACGCCTAGCATCTCCTCACCTCATAAAACGTAGTCATAGGTTCATTCGCGCTGTTAATCAGCAGCTAATACCAACACGTCTCGTCATTCCTCCACTTCTGGTTCAGGCATTGACCTGTAACCCCACTAGCACACCCATCCCATCCCTCCAAGCCCACAGATTTGCGAAAGCAGTTACAATGCAGTGACTGAGCATACCATTTGTCTTATGTCCCACGCGCCCTTCCCATCCAGAATATCCCCCACCTCCTTCTTCGTGGCCTTGCACTCAAAGTGGCGTTTGTAGAGCACGAGCTAGTACGAGCAAGTAAGGCGTTCGAAGCAGTTCTGGTCTTCAGAGACGCGCAGTATGTTGTTTCATGTGGGCACTCTATCTTGATAAGCGGTATTTCATGTAGCAAGGTGATTCGAACTTACATAGCGACATGCGCGGGTGAGAATTTGTTATGGCGGGGCGGGCCTTTCCAGGGCATTGTATCCCGTTACGGCCTAAGGAAGGAAAGGGCGGGGAAGGGGGTTTCCTTTGCTTCAGCCACGTCGACAACACGTCCACACTCTCTGCCTCACAATGGAGCTTTTCTACACCCCTGGCTAGCTTCGGAGACCGCTGCTGTCCGCAAGCGCATTTCGACTTGCTGCTATTCCTAGAACAGGCTCACCGAGTAGCCTGTTACATTAATCAGGTCTAGCAGAATCTATTTCTACTCACCGTCTACCTAGTTGAGCTCCTCCCGTAGAGAAACATGTAGTTCCATACCCGTCGTGAATCCCGCCCGCGTAGGTACTGCTTGCCCTATGGAGTAAGATTTTTACTCTTCTTAATATGCCCACTTGTACGGATCTCCGAGGAAACTAGATTTTTTTAGAACACTATCTTCCCAATCTATTATCCAAAAATGTTGCTTCAGCTTTAACATGGCGGCAAGAACTTTGACAACAGTTTTGAAACCTTAAACGCATTGGCAGAGATGAAGATGCTGAGGAGGAACAAGACACTGCTAGCAAAATCGGGGAGTTGAATCTAGCCTCTTATAGGACAGGTGTCTTGATCTACATTAAGGAGATGTCAGCAAAATCTGTTGCAAATAGAGAGGTAGTGTAACCATGCAGCTATGTAGAAAGCTGAGGAAGTGAAGTGTATTGTTCTAAGTGTAAGTGCTCTGTTGCAGAGTATTTATTTACATCTAAAATGGTAGGGGCAGTGAGGGCCATGGCAATGGCTAAGGGGATATAGTAAAGGTAGTAGGAGCTATAGTGAAGGTAGTAGGAGCTATAGTAACAGCAGTAGGGGCTGTTGAGGCACAAGGAAGGAAGGTTTCTGTACCAGAAATGCGACAATATTCATTGTACTGCAATCTTAATCCGTGATGCACTTCTTTAGGGTGTTCTGCATGCCTTTAGCAACATCTTTTTCAATGCCTACTTTAATTTCCGGTTCCCCTTCCTTCCAAACAACCATACAGAAGAATTCCAACTGCGGGCTAATTGGAATTAAGGATGTCATTCTTCTTCGCATGAACTAACCTTGTATTTTGCCACGCATGTTCCCTATACCTTATGACAATATAGCAATGGGTATTAAACAGAACAGCAAGGTAGACTAGAACGCCCTCATGGATGTAGTTTTAATAATCATTCTGCGAGAAGAGTTTACGCATGTAGAAGTTGTTGTCTATGTTCAAGAGCGTAGAAGACTATTCCTCTGTCGACAGTGGAACTGTCCACCTAATCTTATTTTAAATATACTTGCTTTTTTTTAGAAGTTTCTTTTCCTAGGTATAAGAGCCCTTTTTACAGATTACTAACACACTGAATTATGTATTTCTCTAGGGATGACAAGGTTGTTCTTCTGCTCCTCAGCAGACAGGAATTTTCGCATCTTATTTTAGATCAACTTGACAGTTAGCTTTCTATCTTCTTGTCAAGCCTACCTTTAGTTGCCTGTTCAACAGCTTTTGCAAAAATTTTTTAGGTCTGTAGCCCTAAGAAAGGCTAAAGTTAGGAGAGAAGTGATGTATTGCAGACTAAGGGTCTGAGGTTCTAGGTGATATATAAATGTGTTACCTAAGTCCTGAGTTGATTAGACAACCCATCGTAGAGCTTATAGGTTTACACATCCCCTTTGCTTTGAATTTAGTGTAGGAGCTGTAGCAATTGTTGGCGTGGTATGGTCGCAGTAGTACTTCTTTCTTTGCGTGACAAGAAACCCATTGTGCCGAAACTACTTCTACTAGTCAGCATCTCAAGTCTTCCAACGGGAGTCTACGAACTTGTCGTGTAACCAGGCCAAGCCACTACCTACTAGTGCCTCTACCTCTCTATCTACCATGGCTGCCCACAGAGGCTCCACAAAAATACAACACACTTTCGCTGCCCTAACACCTAACCTTACACATAGTCAATGTCTCAATGTTTCTTAGCCGTTTCTTTACCAGTTTCTAAACTAAAGTTAAAAGGAAAAAAAATACGGCGGTTTTAGTCATGCTCTCGATTACCCGTTCGCAGCACGAAGGAGCGCTCAAGCTTCCACCCTCACGGCATCATGGATATTGGAAGCTTTTCAAATTCGGAGCTTTTGTACGAAAGTTTTATCAAGCAAGAGTATCGGTCTAAACTGTAACAACGTTCACCCCTTATGGATTATCATTCTAGGTTTCTCTAGGTGAAGGAAGAGATACACGCCAAGACATGGCATGCGATGATGGACCTCATCATCCTGTGTTGAAAATCAACCTTGTCGTATCAAATATTACACTATCTCTACCGCCAAGCCCTCTCTCCTATTGGTCCGGATATAAGCCGGCTATTGATTTAATTAGTAGAAAATTAGTAACTAAAAAGCTGCGTTACTGTTTGTTTTTAAGCTTTAAGTAATTGTTCTGCTATGCTACATGCTTAATCTAGTCTTCTTTTTTTCCTATTGTGATTAACTACTGCACAGTTAAAGGTGTAAAAATTACTTTTATAGTGTAATTTTTCCTGCTAAATGTAATTAGCTTTGCTAAGACCTTCTAAGCAAAGCCTACTGCAGGCAAAAAGGGGGTTCTAGAGGATCTCCCCCTAGTTAAGCAAAATAGTAGTGCAACTTTAGGCTTTAGCTTTACATCTGCTCTAACCTGTTCTAATCTTTTCTAACTAGATATTATCTGCTTTAATACCTTTACAGCCTTAGTTAACCTTACTTTATAATAATAATAAGTTATAGTAAGCTACTATATTATAGCTATCTATAATGTATATAAGTGTATTAGGTTATCCTACGTTATCTACTAACCTCTATAAAGGATTGTAAAGGCCTTAAGATTACACCTAACATAATATTAGCCTAATATAAAACACTTTTAACTGTTTTTTTTTTTTTAAGCTATAAAGCTATACTAATTATATTAAAATTAAAAGTATATTTGCATACTATAAACTGTTGCATAGAGAGTAAGGGCTTAGAGGTGTTTTATTACTTAGGATAATAAGTTTAGATAGCTTAAATTCTTCTTTATATAAAATTTTTTTTTAAAAGTTTTTAGCCTAATTAAGTCCTTTTTTAAACTTAATAAGGACGCTGTTTTAGAAAGAGTTATACTTCTAAAGACCCTAAAAAAATAAATTTATTTAGTGTAGCATAGGCTTTACTACACCTTATTTTAATAAGTAGAATCTTAATCTACTTAAAGTTAATCTATCTTTAATCTACTTTAACTTTTTTTAATTAGTACTTTTCTCTCTTAACCTGTTCTTTTTTTCTTATTATATAGTGTTATCTCTTTATATTATTACTATATAGACTTATTGCCTACTTTCTGCCTAGTCTGTAATAACTATAGACCTCTTTCTAACTTTTTTACTAATAAAGTTAGAGCTCCTTATTGCTAGTGCAATAGACATAGCTGTGCAGTATGTTACTTTATTATAATTATTATATTTTTTAGCGCTTATATCTAGTTTTATCTAGGTGTGTTAGCTATTAGCTAATATTAACTTTAATGTATAACCCTTAAAACATGTTTAAGCTTACGCTACTATAGTCTAATTAGGTCTATGCTAGGGCTAACCTGCACATGCTAGGCGTGACACTGCATTAAGTAGAACGCTAGTGCTTAATTAATTATTTTATACATATTAAAACTCTTCTAAGACTTTTATGCCCTTTTTTACTTCTTTTACACTATTTATTTAGATTTATTATAATATATAATTAACCTTTTTTAAGTCTTTTACGCTAACTTTTACTCCTCCTACACTGTCTATACATATACATTATTATAATATATAGCTAACTTTATAAAGACCTGTCTAATCTCTACCCTTTTAACATACTTTAAATTAGCCTGCTTTATTTTTATCTATGCGTAGAGATTAAAAGCAACTAAAGGCTAGTCTTTTATAAAATAATTTACTAAAGGCATATATTATTACTACTATAGACTATATTACTCCTATTAACTTTAGTCTAATGTAAAATTCTATAAGTAGCTGTCTTAACTATAGTGCCTTTTACTAGCTTAAGAAGTAAGTTAATAAGAGTTAAGTAAATTCTTTTTAGTACTTTATATGTTGCTTAATAAGTAATATTAACTTTTTAACTTTTCTAGATCTACCTTTATTCTTGTGTTATTTTTTGCAGGGTAGGCACCTACTTAGCAGATTCTTTTAGAAGCATTTTTAATTATATAACATAGCCTTAGCTTTTATGTTAGCTAACTATAAACAAATAAATTAGGGTGTGTGTAGCATAAGTGTAAAGGTTTTTTAGATTATAAAGGAGATGTACTATATGCACAGCCTATTAGAGCCTACTAAGGGGGACGTCCTCTTCTACACACAGCTGTACTTTTATAATCCTGCCTAGGCTAACAGTGCGTGTATAGGGCATTAGGCTAATAGTAGTCTTAATCTAACTATACTTACACAGCTGCTACAAATAGTTAAAACAGATTATAATAATCCTTAAATTA